TCCTCCTCCCCGATGGTGAGGTGGGTGGAGGGAGGAGACCCACTGTCTTCCTCCTCCCCGATGGTGAGGTGGGTCGCGGGAGGAGACCCACTGTCTTTCTCCTCCCCTACGGTGAGGTGGTCTGCAGGAGGAGACCCACTGTCTTCCTCCTCCCCGACGGAGAGGAGGGTAGCGTGAGGAGACCCACTGTCTTCCTCCTCCCCGACGGTGAGGAGGGTGGCGGGAGGAGACCCACTGTCTTCCTCCTCCCCGATGGTGAGGTGGGTGGAGGGAGGAGACCCACTGTCTTCCTCCTCCCCGATGGTGAGGTGGGTCGCGGGAGGAGACCCACTGTCTTTCTCCTCCCCTACGGTGAGGTGGTCTGCAGGAGGAGACCCACTGTCTTCCTCCTCCCCGACGGAGAGGAGGGTAGCGTGAGGAGACCCACTGTCTTCCTCCTCCCCGACGGTGAGGAGGGTGGCGGGAGGAGACCCACTGTCTTCCTCCTCCCCGATGGTGAGGTGGGTGGAGGGAGGAGACCCACTGTCTTCCTCCTCCCCGATGGTGAGGTGGGTCGCGCGAGGAGACCCACTGTCTTCCTCCTCCCCGACGGTGAGGTGGTTGGCGGGAGCAGACCCACTGTCTTCCTCCTCCCCGACGGTGAGGAGGGTGGCGGGAGGAGACCCACTGTCTTCCTCCTTCCCGCTGGTGAGGAGGGTGGCGGGAGGAGACCCACTGTCTTTCTCCTCACCGACGGTGAGGTGGGTGGCGGGCGGAGACCCACGGTCTTCCTCCTCCCCGACGGTGAGGAGGGTGGCGGGAGGAGACATACTGTCTTCCTCCTTCCCAACGTTGAGATGGGTGGCGGTAGGAGACCCACTGTCTTCCTCCTCCCCGACGGTGAGGTGGGTGGCGGAAGGGGACCCACTGTCTTCCTCCTCCCCGACGGTGAGGTGGGTGGCGGGAGGAGACCCACTGTCTTCCTCCACCCCGACGGTGAGGTGGGTGGCGGAAGGAGACCGACTATCTTCCTCCTCCCCGCCGGTGAGGTGGGTGGCGGGAGGAGACCCACTGTCTTCCTCCTCCCCGACGGTGAGGTGGGTGACGGGAGGAGACCCACTGTCTTCCTCCTTCCCGATCGTGAGGTGGGTGGGAGGGAGGAGACCCACTGCCTTCTCCTCCCTGAAGGTGAGGTGGGTGGCGGGAGGAGACCACTGTCTTCCTCCTCCCTGCAGTAAGGAGGGTGGTGGAGGAGACCCTCTGCTCTCCTCCCAGATGGTGAGGAGGGGGCGGAGGAGACCACTGCTTCCTCCTCCCTGCCGTGGAGGGTGGTGGGAGGAGACCTCTCTTCATCCTCCCAGATGGTGAGGAGGGGGCGGGAGGAGACCCACGTGTCTTCCTCCTTCCCGCCGGTGAAGTGGGTGGCGGAGGAGACCCACTGTCTTCCTCCCTCCTGCCGGTGAGGACGGTGGCGAGAGGAGACCCACTGTCTTCCTCCTCCTCCGAGGGTGAGGAGGGTGGCGGAGGAGACCCACTGTCTTCCTCCTCCCCGATGGAGAGGTGGGTGGAGGGAGGAGACCCACTGTCTTTCTCCTCCCCAACGGTGAGGTGGGTCGCGGAAGGAGACCCACTGTCTTCCTACTACCCGAACGTGAGGTGGGTGGCGGGAGGAGACACTGCTCCTCCTCCCGACGGTGAGGAGGGGGCGGGAGGAGACCCACTGTCTTCCTCCTCCCCTGCCGGTAAGGAGGGGGCGGGAGGAGACCCTCTGTCTTCCTCCTCCCAGATGGTGAGGAGGGTGGCAGGAGATCCACTGTCTTCTCCTTCCCGCCGGTGAAGTGGGTGGCGGGAGGAGACCACTGTCTTCCTCCTCCCCGACTGTGAGGAGGGCGGGAGGGGAATCTGCCGTCTTCCTCCTCCCAAAGGTGAGGTGGGTGGAGGAGGAGACCCACTGTCTTCCTCCTCCCGAAGGTGAGGTGGGTTGCAGGAGGAGACCCACTGTCTTCCTCCTTCCCGCCGGTGAGGTGGGTGGCGGGAGGAGACCCACTGTCTTTTTCCTCCCGCCGGTGAGGAGAGGGTGGCGGGAGGAGACCCACTGTCTTCCTCCCTGAAGGTGAGGTGGGTGGCGGGAGGAGACCACTGTCATCCTCTCCCCGACGGTGGTGAGCGTGGCGGTGGAGACCCACTGTCTTCCCTCCTCCCCGACGGTGTGGAGGGTGGCGGAGGAGACCCACTGTCTTCTTCCTCCCCGATGGTGAGGTGGTGGAGGAGGAGACCCACTGTCTTTCTCCCCACCGATGAGGAGGGTCGCGGAGGAGACCCACTGTCTTCTTCCTCCTCCCGCCGGCAGGAGTGTGGCGGAGGAAACCCACTGTCTTCCTCCTCCCTGAAGGTAAGGTGGTGGCGGGAGGAGACCCACTGTCTTCCCTATCCCAGATGGTGAGGGAGGGGGTGGAGGAGACCCACTGTCTTCCTCCTCCCTGAAGGTGAGGTGGGTGGTGGAGGACCCACTGTCTTCCTCCTTCCCGCCGTGAGGTGGGGGCGGAGAGACCCACTGTCTTCCTCCTCCTCCCCAACGGTGAGGAGGGTGGCGGGAGGAGTCCGACTGCCTCTCCCTCTCCGCCAGTGAGGAGGGTGGCTGTAGGAGACCCACTGTCTTCCTCCTCCCCGATGGTGAGGTGGGTCGCGGGAGGAGACCCACTGTCTTTCTCCTCCCCTACGGTGAGGTGGTCTGCAGGAGGAGACCCACTGTCTTCCTCCTCCCCGACGGAGAGGAGGGTAGCGTGAGGAGACCCACTGTCTTCCTCCTCCCCGACGGTGAGGAGGGTGGCGGGAGGAGACCCACTGTCTTCCTCCTCCCCGATGGTGAGGTGGGTGGAGGGAGGAGACCCACTGTCTTCCTCCTCCCCGATGGTGAGGTGGGTCGCGGGAGGAGACCCACTGTCTTTCTCCTCCCCTACGGTGAGGTGGTCTGCAGGAGGAGACCCACTGTCTTCCTCCTCCCCGACGGAGAGGAGGGTAGCGTGAGGAGACCCACTGTCTTCCTCCTCCCCGACGGTGAGGAGGGTGGCGGGAGGAGACCCACTGTCTTCCTCCTCCCCGATGGTGAGGTGGGTGGAGGGAGGAGACCCACTGTCTTCCTCCTCCCCGATGGTGAGGTGGGTCGCGCGAGGAGACCCACTGTCTTCCTCCTCCCCGACGGTGAGGTGGTTGGCGGGAGCAGACCCACTGTCTTCCTCCTCCCCGACGGTGAGGAGGGTGGCGGGAGGAGACCCACTGTCTTCCTCCTTCCCGCTGGTGAGGAGGGTGGCGGGAGGAGACCCACTGTCTTTCTCCTCACCGACGGTGAGGTGGGTGGCGGGCGGAGACCCACGGTCTTCCTCCTCCCCGACGGTGAGGAGGGTGGCGGGAGGAGACATACTGTCTTCCTCCTTCCCGACGTTGAGATGGGTGGCGGTAGGAGACCCACTGTCTTCCTCCTCCCCGACGGTGAGGTGGGTGGCGGGAGGAGACCCACTGACTTCCGCCTCCCCGACGGTGTGGTGGGTGGCGGGAGGAGACCCACTGTCTTCCTCCTACCCGACGGTGAGGTGGGTGGTGGGAGGAGACCCACTGTCTTCCTCCTTCCCTACGGTGAGGAGGGTGGTGGGAGGAGACCCACTGTCTTCCTCCTCCCCGACGGTGGGGTGGGTGGCGGGGAGGAGACCCACGGCTTCCTCCTCCCGACAGTGAGGAGTGTGGCAGGAGAGCCACTGTCTTCCTCCTCTCTGCCGGTGTGTAGGGTGGCGGGAGAGACCCCTCTCTCCTTTCCCTGACGGTGAGGTGGGTGGAGGGAGAACCCACTGTCTTCCTCCTCTCCAACGTGTGAGGTGGTCGCCCAGGAGGAAATCGCTCTCTTCCTTCTCCCTTGCTTTAAGTTTTTATTATATTTATTGAAAGTAAAAATAATGCTGTGCAGCATCCAGTATGATGGCAACCACTACTGAAGCTTAACCAGGGTAGGGAAGCAGGCTTTGGGGTCACCCCTTCCTCCTGAAGAGGGAGCTTACTATGTTTGGGTCTTTATTAACAATGTGTTTTTTTAATTAATTTTTTTTTCTTAATTTGTATGTATTTAATAATAATAATAATAATAATAATAATAATAATTGTAATAATAATAATAATAATAATAATAATAATAATTGTAATAATAATAATAGTAAATAATAATAATAATAATAATAATAATAATAATTATAATAAATAATAATAATAATAATAATAATAATAATAATAATAATAATAATAATAATAATAATAATAATAATAATAATAATAATAATAATAATAATAATAATAATAATAATAATAATAATAATAATAATAATAATAATAATAATAATAATAATAATAATAATAATAATAATAATAATAATTCATTGTAAATAAATTTTATAATAAAAATTACAAAACTGAAAATAAAATATAAAATAATAATTATAATAATATTAGTACTTTATAAAGAAACAAAGAAATACAAAAATGAAAATGAAAAAGATCAAAAGTGAGAAACAATACATGTATGATGTGTTGGCAATTGCAAGAGAAACAATTGAGACCCTGCATTTGTGTGTAAATGAGGCAGAAAGTCAAATGAGCAACCTGGGAGCTGGTCACAGTTTTTGTGATGCCATACGGCAGCAGGGTCTACCATTAGAAAACATATTATGCTTCCAATATCTTCCCAGGCAGTAGTACCTCCCTGTTTGATAGATGCCTACCACCTACTACCTATAAACCTAACATAAACTAATGGGAAGTAGATGAAATGGTATGTTACCGTATACTTAACTAACAACCTGACACATAATTTCAGGTGAGAACTTGCCTTACTTTCATACCAGAATGTTAACTAATCACTCGAATCGGTGAAACATATAGGAGAATTGATTGAGTCTTCCATCCATGTCAGGTGTTTTATATACTGCAAATACCTCAGGTGTGTGTTTGTGCGTGTGTAATGTGGTGTAATGTTCAGCATGCTAGCCTCGCAAGCGAGAGGAACCGGGTTCGATCCTTGGCATGGGCGACACTATGGGCAAGTTTCTTTACGCCATTTGCATCTGTCTACCCAGCAGTATTTGGGATTTGGATGTTAATCGATTTGCGGATAGCGTTCCGGGGTAATGATTAGCCAGTGGAGTTGTCTGGTCTTCTCGGACTATTCCTTGGCAATGGGTCATGCAACTCATGTGGTTGTTGTGTTGGCGACAGCTTCTACACCTTAAACCAAATTTACGCCTAGGTGGCCCTAAGGCCGGCCATCCTTGTTACTCGAGGGGCAACCATTATTGTGTGTGTTTGTGTAAACCAGAAAGTTTATTAATTCAGTCACACTTCACACCTAAAACACTAACATGCACTTCAATACCGTCACATGTTATCCACCTCACGATAGTCTAACACTAACATGCACTTCAATACCGTCACATGTTATTCACCTCACTATAGTCTAACACTAACATGCACTTCAATACCGTCACATGTTATCCACCTCACTATAGTCTAACACAAACATGCACTTCAATACCGTCACATGTTATCCACCTCACTATAGTCTAACACTAACATGCACTTCAATACCGTCACATGTTATCCACCTCACTATAGTCTAACACTAACATGCACTTCAATACCGTCACATGTTATCCACCTCACTATAGTCTAACACTAACATGCACTTCAATACCGTCACATGTTATCCACCTCACTATAGTCTAACACTAACATGCACTTCAATACCGTCACATGTTATCCACCTCACTATAGTCTAATACTAACATGCACTTCAATACCGTCACATGTTATCCACCTCACTATAGTCTAACACTAACATGTACTTCAATACCGTCACATGTTATCCACCTCACCATAATCTTGCACGAAGGTTTTATATACATGAACGTCTGGGTAGAGAGATTTACACTGAGGGATCACCTATGGTATGGGCGCTTACCCAACGGTATTTCAAGATGGCCACCGGTACAAGTCGTTGGAGTGAGATTTGTTGAAGAAGCGTAAGGTATTCTATTGATAAACACCACACACGGAGACAGAGAGAGAGAGAGAGAGAGAGAGAGAGAGAGAGAGAGAGAGAGAGAGAGAGAGAGAGAGAGGAATCCCACTGGCGATGTTTTGGATGAAGACGCTTCATAGACTTGGCATCAGTGCACTGTACATCCATCCAGCGCCTTCACCGTTTCTCTTAGTTCTTCCTGTTGGTTTTGATTGGTTGGAGACATTTCTCTTGTTATTGGTGGAAGTATATCTGTTGCTATTGGTGGAAGTATATCTGCTACTTTTGGTGGAAGGATATCTGTTGCTATTGGTGGAAGTATATCTGTTGCTATTGGTGGAAGTATATCCGTTGCTATTGGTGGAAGTAGATCTGTTGGGTTATTGAGAGAAGATATCTGCTGCTTTTGGTGAAGTATATCTGTTGCTATTGGTGGAAGTATATCTGTTGCTATTGGTGGAAGTATATCTGTTGCTATTGGTGGAAGTATATCTGTTGCTATTGGTGGAAGTATATCTGTTGCTATTGGTGGAAGTATATCTGTTGCTATTGGTGGAAGTATATCTGTTGCTATTGGTGGAAGTATATCTGTTGGTATTGGTGGAAGTAGATCTGTTGCTATTGGTGAAAGTATATATGTTGCTATTGGTGGAAGTATATCTGTTGCTATTGGTGGAAGTATATCTGTTGCTATTGGTGGAAGTATATCTGTTGCTATTGGTGGAAGTATATCTGTTGCTATTGGTGGAAGTATATCTGTTGCTATTGGTGGAAGTATATCTGTTGCTATTGGTGGAAGTATATCTGTTGCTATTGGTGGAAGTATATCTGTTGCTATTGGTGGAAGTATATATGTTGCTATTGGTGGAAGTATATCTGTTGCTATTGGTGGAAGTATATATGTTGGTATTGGTGGAAGTATATCTGTTGCTATTGGTGGAAGTATATCTGTTGCTATTGGTGGAAGTATATATGTTGCTATTGGTGGAAGTATATCTGTTGCTATTGGTGGAAGTATATATGTTGGTATTGGTGGAAGTATATCTGTTGCTATTGGTGGAAGTATATCTGTTGCTATTGGTGGAAGTATATATGTTGCTATTGGTGGAAGTATATCTGTTGCTATTGGTGGAAGTATATATGTTGGTATTGGTGGAAGTATATCTGTTGCTATTGGTGGAAGTATATCTGTTGCTATTGGTGGAAGCACATCTGTTGGTATTGTGAAGTATATCCGCTGCTATTGGTGGAAGTAGATCTGTTGCTATTGGTGAAGTATATCTGTTGCTATTGGTGGAAGTATATCTGCTAATGGTTGAAGTATATCTGTTGGTATTGGTGGAAGTATATCTGTTGCTATTGGTGGAAGTGGATCTGTTGGGTTATTGGTGGAAGTATATCTGTTGCTATTGGTGGAAAGTATATCTTGCTTGCTATTGGGTGGTGCTTTTTATATCTGTTGCTATTGGTGGAAGTATATCTGTTGCTATTGGTGGAAGTATATATGTTGGTATTGGTGGAAGTATATCTGTTGCTATTGGTGGATGTAAATATGTTGGTATTGGTGGAAGTATATCTGTTGCTATTGGTGGAAGTATATCTGTTGCTATTGGTGGAAGTATATGTGTTGCTATTGGTGGAAGTATATCTGTTGCTATTGGTAGAAGATATCTGCTGCTTTTGGTGGAAGTATATCTGTTGTTACTGGTTGAAGTATATCTGTTGCTATTGGTGGAAGTATATCTGTTGCTATTGGTGGCAGTATATATGTTGCTATTGGTGGAAGTAGATCTGTTGCTATTGGTGGAAGTAGATCTATTGCTATTGGTAGAAGTATATCCGTTGCTATTGGTGGAAGTAGATCTGTTGCTATTGGTGGCAGTATATATGTTGCTATTGGTGGAAGTATATCTGTTGCTATTGGTGGAAGTATATCTGTTGGTATTGGTGGAAGTATATCTGTTGCTATTGGTGGAAGTAGATCTGTTGCTATTGGTGGAAGTATATCTGTTGCTATTGGTGGAAGTATATCTGTTGGCTGTAGTACGGCCCTCTATATAAAGTACGGCCCTCTGTATATCGTACGACCCTCTGTATATAGTACGACCCTCTATATATAGTTCGACCCCTCTCTATATAGAACGGTCCTCTGTATATACTACGACCCTCTATATATAGTACGACCCTCTGTATATAGTACGACTCTCTTTATATAGTACGACCCTTTGTATATAGCCCGGCCCTCTGTATATAGTACGACCCTTTGATAAATTACGAACCTCTGTAAATAGTTCGGCCCTCTGTATATAATACGACCCTTTGTATATAGTACGACCCTCTGTATATAGTACGACCCTCTGATAAATTACGAGCCTCTGTAAATAGTACGTCCCTCTGTATATAGTACGACTCTCTGATTATAGTACCACCCTCTGTATATAGTACGACCCTCTGTATATAGTACGACCCTCTGATAAATTACGAGCCTCTGTAAATAGTACGTCCCTCTGTATATAGTACGGCCCTCTGTATATAGTACGACCCTCTGTATATAGTACGACCCTCCTTATATAGTACAGCCCCTCTGTATATAGTACGGCCCTATGTATATAGTACGACCCTCTGTATATAGTACGACTTTATATATATAGTACGACCCAATGTATATAGTACGAGCCTCTGTAAAGGGTACGACCCTCTGTATATAGTACGAGCCTCTGTAAAGGGTACGACCCTCTGTATATGGTACGACCCTCTGTACATAGTGCGACCCTCCAGCACCGCTATACTATAGTCATCGTCACCATTGATTTATACAGTAATAGGTGTTCCGTATCATTTATTCATACGACATCGATACACTCGTTAAGTAGATAGCAACATTGATACAGGCCTTTCTGGTACAGTACAATAGATTATTTCATTTGTAGATGATTTAGGTGGAGCTTCTTCTCTCCATATAAAGCTTTAGATGGAGGGTGTCATATCTAATGGGCCCTTCATATAACGGACTTTCATCTAACGGACCCTCGATGAAACGGAATTTTCTTTTCATATAGTCCGTTAAATAGAGGTTTCCCTTTATCTCTGGTGGAACTTTAGTAATCTACAGAAATAAATCACAGTTCGCTAATGTTGATACTAACGGAGGAAGAGAAGGGGAAGAGGGTAGGCGGTAGGAGGAGGAGCAGGAAGGAGACGAAGAGAAGGGGGGAGGAGCAGGAGGATCAGGAAGGTGAGAGACAGAGAGAGGAGGAGGAGCAGTAGGAGGGAGGGGGCGGAGGAAGAGAAGGAGCAGGGAGGAGAGGGAGAGCGGAGGAGGAGTGGGAGGAGGAGAGTGGGAGGAGGAAGAGGAGAAGGAGGAACAGGGGAACGCGGGAGCGAGGGTACGGAGAAGGAGGAGGAGGAGGAAGGAAAACAAATACAGATTTATAAGAAGTTGAACCAAGACAATAGCCATATGTGTACGTCATGCACCACCTCTCACCAGACAATAGCCAGGTGTGTGCGTCATGCACCACCTCTCACCAGACAATAGCCAGGTGTGTACGTCATGCACCACCACTCGCCAGACAATAGCCAGGTGTGTACGTCATGCACCACCTCTCACCAGACAATAGCCAGAGGTGTACGTCATGCACCACCTCTCACCAGACAATAGCCAGATGTGTACGTCATGCACCACCTCTCACCAGACAATAGCCAGGTGTGTACGTCATGCACCACCTCTCACCAGACACCACTGCATCGTCAATCACGTCGCTTTCTTTTTTTTTATGTTAGTCACTCGTTGGCTATAATGTGAGAAAACCAAATATTCAATATACATTAAACACTACAGGAACATAAACCGGGAACTGTGCACGATATCTTTAGCTTCAAGATGATTCACACACACACATACTCATAAAATATTACGGTCGGGTCAAATAGTTTAAGTACGTAGTTTTTGTGTTTTTTTTTTTTTTACTACAGGAGAGACTTTTATTAAATATACCCTGACACTGGTCACTGGTGGAGGTAAAGTCATATACATACATACATACATACATTTATATCATATATATATATATTTAATTTTCATCTGGCGTATCAATAAAGTAATTTTTTCAAGTAAAAGAAGTTGTACAATGATAACCTATACAAAAGAAATACAGCAAGTTATACAAAGGCCTGGCCACCTCTCTCCTTGCAAGACTGATTGGTTGAGTTCACAGCAGGTGGATCCATGCAATTTACAAAGGAGTCTAGTAGCTGTGTTAGTTTAGGTTAGATTAGGTTAGGTTACAAAGGCATGTGATGGTTGCCTATATTACTCGACCACTTCAGCTTGGAGCACCAGAAGGATGAAAATATCTTTTGACAACTATTATTACACGACTGATTGTTAGTATGTTATTAATGATGGTATGTCTGGCACGTGATATAGTTAGTGGATCGTTGGTATCAAATTGTTACACACACACACACACACACACACACACTACATCCCTGACCACCGTAGGGTCAAGACCTATTTAGGTGCTGCTCCTGCTGAGCAGCGGCCCCCTTGGCTAATGTTCGGCCCATTACCCAAGTCCCTCTCCCCGACCCATCCTCACCACAGGGATATCAACATAATCAAAAGTGACTGTAAACGCTTTGGTTAAGGACGTTCAGGTGACGGGCAAGTCGAAGGGAATGATTGAAACCCGCCTTTTGACGCATTCAATATTTATTGATGCGGTCAAAACCTACAGAGAACAAGGCGTTCATTAGTATTACATGGTGATCTATCTGATACATAATTAGTTAGTCTCACACTATTTCATCTTAATTACAATTGATTATTAAACATAGTGACATGATACAAAGTTCATAACTTTATTAATTTTAGTTACACTTCATTCAGCATTGTCTTATTGCTCCAGATAAGGCAGAAACGAGTAGGCATAAATAGTCAGCAATATTTCAGTACTGAGGGGTATGTCATAACTTTGGCTGTACTTACAAGTTTGGGTCAATGCGAACCGGTATGGTGTTCCAAGGGACAATAGTACTGTGTAAATTGTTCCAGCACAAAACTCGGCCAGGATTGGGAGTCGGTGTTCACCACTGCTAGCAGAGGGCTGGTCCTCACAGCATCACACGAGAGGGCGATCTGCATCATGGAGGCCAGGCGGCCAAGCCACATTCTAAACCATACACTCAGCAGAAAAGGGCCTCTTGTCTGTGCAGGTAGCGTGGGGGCACGTGGTCGCAGGCTTAGAGATTTAATGTTTGTTCGGGTAAGGCAACGCCAGCACTGTAGTTGAAGCCAGCGGCGATAACACTCCCGGCGTTGGGCAATCGCCCAAGATTTACGGTGTGGCGTGTTCAAGAAGGCATACATGGGTCACTGGCCTTCGGAACTCCCCAGATATGGTTTGCACACGCACCTGGCGCACCAGATCGTCAGCTCCTGGAACCACTGCCGTGACCCTGCCCAATGGCCATTTGTTGCGAGAAAGATTGTCTCCAGTGACTAGGACAAGGTCGCCTTCCTGGAGATTCCGGGTTGGTTCTATGTACCTCTGTCTTTTGCGGAGTAGTGGAAGGTACTCCCTCATCCAGCGTTTCCAGAAGTGGTCTGCTAGGAACTGCACGTGCCGCCACCGTCGTTAATATGAGTCCTTCAAAAGACATCCTCCCAGTGACAGATCAGCGTGTGGGCCACCGTGGGCTGGTGTAAGCGCTTCCAGGTCTCTCACGCTGCTCGAGGCAGGTGTTATGGGTCGACTATTTATGATCGCTTCTACTTCACAAAATAGCATCTGCAGTCGATATCCATCCAGGACTTGGGTCCCCACATTGCTCTGAAAACCTTTCTGACTGTTCGGATTTGCCGTTCCCAGACTCCTCCCATGTGCAAAGACGCTAGAGGGTTGAATACCAATTCTATATCTTTCTTCTGAAAGTGTCTTCCAGGTTTCTCATGTAGCTCGATGCAGGTGTGATGGTTCGACTATTTATTATTGTTTCCACTTCACAAATAGCATCTGCAGTCGGTATTCATCCAGGACTTGTGTCCCCAGAACTGTTCTGAAAACTTTCTGACTGTTCAAATTTGCCATTCCCAAACTCCAAATGCCAAGACCAAACCCAGTGCTTCTAGGAATACGAGGGGATCCCTACACATGAACCATGCGGCGGTCGACAAAATTAAGAAGAAAACCCAGAAATTCAAGACGTGGGTTGGGTCCAACGATGAGCAAGACAGGAGGATGTGTGCAAGAACGAGAAACCAAGCAAAGATAGGGTGTAGAAGGGCTGAAAAGGAGTTCCAGAGGCTGGTTGCAAGCGAGGTCAAGTCAAACCCAAAGGCGTTTTACCGCTATGCAAAGTCGAAATTGAAAACGCGAGTAGGAGTATCAGACCTGAGGCTTGTGGATGGTAGTTACGTAGATTCTGACCATGATAAAGCTGAGGCATTGAACAGCTTCTTTTCCTCGGTGTTCACAAGAGAGGATGCAACTAACCTTCCTGCGTTTGAGGACAGACGGTTCGACACAGCACTGACCCACATTGTGTTCACAGAAGAGGGTATTAGAAATAAACTGTCCAGGCTAAAGGCCCTGACATGGTGCATCCAAGAGTGCTAAGAGAGTTGTGCAACGAGCTTGCCGATCCCCTGAAGATCCTGTTTGTAAATGCCTGGATGAACAAATGGTCCCCAGTGAATGGAAAGTGGCTTATGTGAGTCCTATCTTCAAGAAGGGCGATAGTCACTCCACGAACAACTATAGACGGGTGAGCCTGACCAGCATAATATGTAAAGTACTTGAGAGTATTATCAGAGATGCAGCGATGGAACATCTACTACGAAACAACCTTGTAAAAGATTGCCAACACGGTTTTATGCCGGGGCGCTCTTTCTTGACACAATTGCTCAAGGTATTGGATATTTGGACCCATATTCTAGAACGGGGTGGTAATATCGACAATATTTACCTAGATTTTGCCAAGGCTTTCGACAGTGTACCCCACGAAAGGCTGAAAATCAAACTGGAAGGGTACGGAATTCGGGGAAATGTCCTAGCGTGGATAGAAGACTTTCTACATGACCGCAAGCAATGTGTGGTGATTAATGGCACGAAATCGTCATCTGTACCTGTAACAAGTGGGGTACCGCAGGGTAGTGTATTGGGCCCGCTGTTGTTTGTTTGTTTCATAAATGATATGCCTGACGTTGTACACTCCTCCATACAAATGTTTGCCGATGACGCCAAGTTATGTCGGGAAATTAAGAACCAAGCGGACTGTGAAGAGCTGCAGAAGGACCTCTGTGGGCTCCAGGAATGGTCGAAGGAATGGCTGCTGAGATTCAATGTCACGAAGTGTAAGAGGATGCACCTGGGGCGTACCAACGGTAAGGAGGCGTACCATATGTCCCAACGGGATGAAGAAAATGTACTAGTTGAGACTGTGTGTGAGAAGGACCTAGGTGTGTATGTTGACAATGAGCTGAAGTTCTCGGGCCATTGTGAGAAGAAGGTAAATCAGGCAAATAAATTATTGGGTCTTATAAGAAGGTCGTTCAGATATCTAGACGGTCCGTCCCTCGTGACGATCTTCAGGAGTGAAGTGCTTCCCCATCTGGAGTACTGTCACCCCATCTGGTCCCCGAGATATGCTAGGGACTGTCAGTTGGTTGAAAATGTTCAAAGGAGGGCCACCAAACTGGTGCCTGCACTTCGGCACCTCAGCTACCCTGAGAGATTGGAGCGCCTGAACTTGCCTAGCTTATACTACAGACGGGCAAGGGGGGACCTAGTTGAGGTTTATAAGCATCTCAGGGGGCACTACTCAGTTGAGTGTCCTTACTTGGAGCTGGCGGACGCTCGCCCCACAAGGGGTCACAGCTCAAGATTGAAGAAGCCGCAAGTCCAGAAAACCGTGAGGGCAAACTTTTTCGGAGTGAGGGTTGTAAACTCTTGGAACAATCTACCAGAGAGTGTTGTGACGGCACCGAGTGTGAGCTCTTTCAAGAGAAGACTTGACCAACACTGGAGCGGGTTCAGGTACATTCAGGAGCCGGTGCATGCCCAGTATTTGCCAACAGTGCGTGACAGAGACGTGACCGATCGCCCGGGCGGCTAGCGAGCCGACCTTTTGGTGAAGAATATAAAGGAAAAGAGACGTGACCGATCGCCCAAGCGGCTAACAAGCCGATCAGTGGCGAAGAGGATAAAAGTAAAAGTAGAATATAATTAAGACAAGGTATACTTCAGAAAGGTAAGGACATAGAAATTCAGAAAATACAATACTATACTGTATATAAAAAGAAATGAAGTAAAGAAAAGAATATTGACTTGGAAAATATAAGCAGAGAAATATAAGATATATACTTATACTGTGGAAATAAAGACACAGCATATGAAATTATTAGATATATATATATACCAGAAAAAATTAATATAAAAGATAGACATGAGCAAGAAAATAAGCAAATAAGAATATAAGAAAGAAGAATATAAAGAATATAAAAGAGAAGAAATATATGAAATAGAATAAATCTGAAGGATAGTATAAAGTAAGGAAAGTCCGACCCTTACATCGTCTGGTAAGATTGAATCAAATAAACATATTAAGTTTTACCGTTTCTGTAAAAATGAGCTGCCATAAAATTCAAAATTGTTTCAAATTAGTTCAAAAGAAAATCAGAGAGAACAAAACCAGTGTGACAATTTCTTTACTTGTTGACGTGATGAATAGTCCTACTTCCGAGTGTGATTTCAAGTCTGAAGAACCTAATAAAGCTGACTCTTAAATCATTTTTGAGGGGTCTATTTCTTTTAATGATATTTCTGCTCAGAATACTGTTCAAATTCTTAGACACTGTTTAATGACCACAGTCATACATGTTAGTTGACGCAAAATTAGATGATTCCCATTACGTTTAAAAGCCCATAAAACATATAGCTATGACTTAATTCTTGAGTCCCCCTGCTAAAACGTCCGTTTTCTTGCTGCTTCGGTGATACCGAGACATTCGTTTTCTCTAATGGTTCAGAATCTCTCGTATCTCATGTTGATCTTTGTAGATTTAAATTTATGAATGAATGCGTATGTATTACCATAAGATATGTATATCTGCTTACTGTATTTATCTTAAGTCAAATTGTCAAGTAAGTTCAGTGTAGAGTTAGCAAGGGAGAGTGAAGAATCCTGATATTGTCCTGTGAGAAGTACTTACTGTACAGTAAGTTCTATTCGCCACTGAGCTTAGATTGTTTTGATTCACAATCATCAGAGAATCTGATGACTGTATTGAAATTACTGTCAGTTTTGTATTTTAGAAGGTCACTCATAATTTGAAAGAAACCTGTTACTGCTCAAAGCTTGAAATTTTAACGGCCGAACGTCAGAACTCCCTCTGATGACACTGTATAAAATAATATTGCTAGACTGGGTGCCAGGGCTCCCACAAAACAAAACATTGAATTCCCCAAACTAAAGTGAAAATTTCCCGAGAATTAATAATATTTCCCTAAAAAAAAAATTATCTTAATTTAATTATTATAGTACATTATATGAGTTTTGTTTATTAACCTTTATGCATACTCTCTCTCTTCTCCCTCTCTCTCTGATACACGCACTAGCAGGCAGTAAATTAGTAAATTCTTTATAAAGGAGAATTGTACCGTTTTAGAAAAATTGGCTCAAATGAAGTCTTAAACCGTATTCGCCAAGAGTGGTGGAGGACATCTTGCCATGAGACCCTCCACTACTCGAAAATATGAGAACTGCTGGAAAGCCTACCAGCAGTACCTCAAGGAGCAAGGATCTCCCACGCCCGGTGAAAGTGTAGTTCTAGAGTTCTTATCGTCTCTAGCGCAGAGAGAGGCAGGTCTATCCCGACCCTCTCCATCCACCTGGCTGCCCTCACCGACCCCCCTGGACTACGGGTGCGGGTTAACAAGAAGTCGGTTACCCTGCTGAAGCGGGGACATGTTCCACCAGCGACCACCTGCTAGACCACCCCTTACCTTCTGGTCCTTGGAGAAAGTTCTCACCCTTCTGGGCTTGGTAAGTACTACTCCTTCAGTCCTGTGAACTACACTGATAATCTAGCCTAAGGGCCACTGGCCTTATGTTGTCTGTTTTTCCTATGTTCTTGTTCCTATGAATGTTTTTACCATGACAGATTAATCTGATATCTGTCTCACCACAGGATCCATTCACCATTCGGCCGTCAAAGGACTGCCTTCTACAGAAGACCCTCTTCCTCCTAGTGCTGGCCATGGGCTTCAGGTCCTCCCAGCTCAAGGCACTCACGAGGTTCGACCACTGGACCTCCTTCACCCAAGGAGATTCTGCAGTGTCCCTGGCACCTTCTCCCACCTCCCTGGCGAAGAATGAGCGAGAGAACCACAGGCTCCGGCATAGAAGGTGGAGGACGAGCACCACCGATTCCGCCAAGGCCGACAACACCACCAGCCAGCATCACCTCTTCGTTCATCCTCGGTCGTGGCGCCTCCTGTTAGTC